TTTTGAGAGTTGGGCTACGTCAATGGTAAATGCGTACGGGGTAGGGGTTGCATTTTGTTCATCCACTGCTGGATGAGGTGCTCCCCACGCTCTGGGGGTGATTGCTGATGCGTCACCGTGCTGGTTTGGTTGGTGAGTGCTGGGCAGGTAGCGTAACGGTACAGCACGTGAGTGTACTCTACCGCACTGCCCTCTGCTGCCCATCACGTTGCATAGCACCACAGCTGGCCAAGACGCACCCTGGTTGTGCATCACTGGTGGTCGCTCATGGATGCACCAAGGCCGTAGCCATGGAGTCAACATTGAGGGGGACAAAATCTTCCAGGGGGTCTGGGGTCCCCCCCCCCCAGAAAAGATCTAAATTTGAAAACGAATTTCTTGCCTAAAATATTTAAAAAAATCACTAACACATAGGATGGACTTTTTATTTATTTTTTACAATAATTTCTAATAGTGTATTGTATTACATTGCGCTGTTTTTTCTTTTTTACCTTTTATTGTTTCATTGTATGTAATGGCAGAGATTAGGGAGTCAAAGTACAACCATAACCACAATCATATAAACAGAAATCTATGCATTGTTATATGAAGACAAGTCCAGATATTGTGGCCAAGGTTTAGCAAATTGTTGTTTGAATTTACATAGCATAGCAATTTTTTAAATATTGTTTATAGCAATATATTGGGGGGACATTTTAAGCATATTTGATCATTGGGGGGATGTGTCAGCCGACCCATGGCACCTGGGTCTGTCCCGATACCTCCTGTCAGCGAGCCTTCGACACTTCACGTGGCCTCTTAAGTGCACCTGGCCTGGCACAGACGCCTTGGTGACGTCACCGTCACTTCGTGGCGAATGCCGGGTATTGGTTTCGGCTTCGTGCCGTTGTTGATTAAGGAACCATCACCATCTCGTATTCACCACGTGGTGTGTTGCGACTCTTGAAATACTGAGGGTTTTTTTGTTTTACCGAATTCGAAAAATGTCTCTTCTTGTTACTTTGGATGCCGACCCCTGGACCGAGCGGTATAGCGGCCTGGTGCAGAGGTTCAAGGTTTGAATCCATCGGGCGCCCTGGTTATTACTGCGGGTTATATTAACCGTGAAATTAACCCGCCGTCTGCTTCGAAGAGTATAGGCCCAGTGTGCGCTGACACACCGAGACATCAACACAAATACAAACCCCACAAATTACTCAATTGGGATAACGCACAGCGGGCATCGATTCCGACTTGCGAACACTCGGCAAGACCCTCTTGAAAAAGAGTCTTGAGACTCAATGCGGCTTTCCAATCAGAATGTTTATTTATACTGGAAGTATCCCATGAGCTACATAAAGCTATTTTTCATAGATGTCCAGGCGGGGCGGGTCATATCGTTAAAACAACAAACAATACAAAAACACGATAAGATTGCAAAGTATAGGAAAGGTAAACAAACCACTTTAAAATATATACAAATGAAACAAAACTATTGTTTTTTTTTATCTTACCAGGTAAAGCCCACTGAGCTATTAACTTGTTTTTCAGAAGCGACCTGGCCGCAAATGATAGCTCAACGAAGTGGATTATCGTGTAGTTGCCCTCTCCGCGGAAATGATCAATATTAAGCCTGTGAACTGTTTTAGTATCAGTGGCTAGCCGTATGCGTACACACACGCGGAGTGCACATTTCACGGGGTCACGACGCATCTATTCTGCATATCGTGTTCACCTCTTTAAATATATTTTTAAATCAAACAAACAAAAATATGAAACCACGCGAATAGCTCGCTCTGATGCAAATGTGATCGTTCCCGAGTGGACGTTCGCTCGTGGAGAATTCTCGGCATGTTCAAAGGTAAATTAATGAATGGATGAATCGGCAGGTTGTGCAAGTTGTGCGTGGGGAGGTGGGGGCGGGGGTTGCGCTGCCCTACGAACCCGGCGACCCGAGTTCCACTCTCGCTCACGGCCAACACCGGTGACGATTATCTGAACCGGGTCCTGGACCTCCCCTAGGTCGACTCAGCCCCAAATGAGTACCTGGTTCGGTGTGTAAACATCGCCGCTGGTTGAGACAAAGGCGGTCGGGCGTGGTGTTGGTCACCCACCGCCTCGTGTACCGTGCCAGCCTTCATAGGTGCCCGCTAACCGCACTTGCCCTAAGCCTGTTAAGGGTTATATGGGGGATATTTGGGGAGTTGAGGGTGTGCATTTGGCGTAGTGGTTAGCGCACTGCCCTACGAACCTGGCGACCCGAGTTCGATTTCCGAATATGACCAGCACCCGTGACGATTATCTGAACCGGTCCTGGACCTCCCCTACGTCGACTCGACCTCAAGTAACTATACCTGGTGCGGTGTGTAGACATCGCCACTGGTTGAGACAAATGCGGTCGGGCGTGGTTGCCGGCCACCCATCCCCTCGTGTGCCGCTCCGGCCTCTATAGCTGCTCGCTCACAGCACTTGCCCCAATAGTTTGTTGAGTCTACACTGGGGGGGGGGGGGGACCTTTGTCTTTGTTGCGTTCCAGACGCAAGGAGGCTGCATTCACGTCCACGCGTGTCCTTGCCCGAGGCTGCGCGCAGCATGCAGATGCGAGTTTCTCGGTGTATAATTTGCACAAATTCAATATTTCCGGCACGCGTGAGATTTGTTGTTTTGTTTGTTTGTCGTCGTCGTTGCTGCAAAACGAAACCATGCCAGGAGGTCGCATGCCTCCGGTAATAGTTTTATTTACAAGCACATCAGTCATACATGCAAAGTTCCCTTCAACCTATTAAATGGGTTGATAATTGTTTTTTTATCCTTTTATCTGGCAACAAAACTGACACTTTTTTTTACAAGGAGTCATGTTTGCATTGACCACAATACCTGCAGTCGGAATGCAAAAAAAAACATAACTCTGACAATGTATGCACTGTCCTTGAAATTGATTGGTCCACACCCGAGACAGCTTTTCTTCGAGCCTAGTCTCGCATGGTGTTGGACCAGATGACGCCAAAAGGCGCACAACTCAAAGACAATGCACCATCAGAGTATGAGAGCTCGGGGTAAGCATTTACACCATTGGAACCTCATTTGCCATTAGCAAAATACTGGCGAATGAGGTTCCAATGGTGCCATTAAATGGGTTCAAGGAAACCTTTATTTACTGCTGTGCTCACGGTATATACGTGGCAAGATTTTGGGTGATTCTTTGCTCGGAGGGCAGGTTAAGATAAGCAGAGTTGAGGTTGGATAGGGCTTGGATTGGTCACTCAGAAGTCGGCTGCGAGGCCACGCGGTCGTCAGCAGAGGGCAGTGCGATTCTTGTACTGTCCTGTGCTCCAAGGACAAAGATCTCCCGTATAGCCTTAGCAGACTGTTGGGGCAAGTTCCGTGAGCGAGAAGCACCTATGAAGGCCGACACGGCACGCGAGGGGTGGGGTGGTCACCACCTCGCCCCTGCCGCCTTTGTCTCCCCAGTGGCGACGTTTCAGACACCACACCAGCTTACTCGGTTGAGGCTGCGTCGACCAAGGGGGAAGCCCAGGGCTGCTTTGGATAATCGTCACTGGTGTTGGTGGCCGTGAGTGGGAATTGAACTCGGGTAGCCGCACTGACCAAAGTGGTGAAGTATGGTCAAACAACCCTCACGGTGTGGAGAGACCCTCATTCAGCAGTGGATTGATTTTCTTTTTTAAAGGTTGTACTTGTGCCTACTGTAGACGCGTTATATTGTTTGGGGTGACCCATGTCTGGATATTCAGATACAATGTGTATGTAGTTCCTTCCTGCATTTACTAAACCACAGTATCAACTAATTTTTTATTTTTATTTTACCAGGTAAGGCCCACTGCGCTATACAGCTTTTTTTCAGAAGCGACCTGGCCACAAATGATAGCTCAACGAAGTGGCTTATCACGTGGAAATGTGTCGCAGCCAAATACTTTGAACGCACGTTTCTAAATGTGGAGGGGAAACCCGGAGGACCCGGAGAAAAAAAACTACGCCGGCACGGGGAGAGAGACACGCAGACTCCAAATATACAACAAGCCTAGTCAGGGTCGGGATAGAACCCACGACCTCCTGTATACCGGGCGAGGTAGTCAACATCTCGCCACCGTGGCGCCCCATTATTGTTTACTGTTATACTGCGGTAAGCAATGGGGAAAGTCCCTAATGACAACATCGGAGGTTAGCGTTTAGATAGCATTAATCAACAACAACAACAACACAAAAGGTTGTGCTGGGTGGGACATGTCCAGGATCGAGGAGAGCCGACACAGAGACGGCCGTAGCATCGGAGTGGCCTCCGTGAGTCCGGCAACCGAGGGGGGGAGGGGGACACCTAAGAGCGGGCGGTGGGAGACTGCGAGAGGCCTGATCTCGAAGGTCGCCACTGGGGCAGCGGCTGCGGCATCAGGCGGAAGGGTCGGGGAGAGTTGGCGTTGAGGTGCGATGGCATCAACGCCTTTTGACAGGCGATGACGCCTTGGAGGTGATCGCACTTGCGGACTGACAAGAACGCCACTGGCAGAAAATACTCGACGTCGTAAAACAGCGGCACGGCTTATATAATTCGCTCCACGATTACCGCATACACACACACGCACTGTGCATATAAATAAATGTACATATAGACCAGGGTTAACAATGAGGCTTCAAATGGCTTTATATTTTAGTTTCCAATTCACCACTTGACTATGAACCTGCATGGACTCGACAGGTGACTGAACTGCACGTGACCTGACCTTTGTACCGACTCCGTTCATTGCTTAGTCGCCTAATGAGCCAGTGTGGCCTGCTTTGCTCATACAGGGCTTCATAAATATTGAACGATTAAATCACTCACAATGCACCTGATCTCACCAGTTCTTACAAGCTCAGCAGGTCTTTTGAACCACGATACAGTGCCTTGGATGGACGACCGCCACGCACAACCTGTGTTGTAGGCTGCAGGGGTTTATGTTGTGGGCAGCAGAGGGCAGAGAAGTAAAATACATTTTGTGTGTCGTGCTATATGTGCTCCTCTGCCCCCCCGCCTCCTTCGCCAAACCTTCCGCTGGCCAGCAATGGTGAAGTATGGACCACTGAACTGCTTTTCTGTGTGTTCAGTGTTGTCCTAACCCCCGCACCTCCGAGTAGCACGCTCGGCTACGCGCGGTGCGAAAGAAGGGGGGCTCTCATCCAGCGGTGGATTGACAACTGCGCCGTAGATGCGTCATTCAGACGCTGTCTTTCCGACAGCCCTGTTCTTCACCTGAGGACGGCTGCTTGCGCTGTGGCCGAAACGTCGTGAGAATTGTATTTTATTATGTTTTATTTTTATTATTTTATTATTTCCATTCTACGTGACTTTACCGAAAGAACCAAGAAGATGAATCCCTGCAGTCACGAAAGAAGCTTTAAATCGAAAAGTAATATATGGAGTTGAGTGATTCATGATCAGCCGTCGGAGAGGCGATGGCTGGCGATGGCGGTCATAGCGAAGTGCCCTGTGGCCGTTTCGTGCGCTGCGCAAGCCGCTGTCCGCCAAGTCGTGCCCCGGTCGACGCTTCGTCAGTTGTAGATGAGGCCCTCGATGATGCTGAAGCTGGAGGAGCAGCGGTAGCGGCCGGTCACCGGCGGAGAGCGGACGCACGCGAGGCTCGGCAGGCAGGGGCACACGTGGTGCCGGCGTCGGCCCCAATACGGCACCTGCGACGCTCACGGAAAAAGACGTCGTAAAGTTGCAGCAGCAGCAGCAGGAACAACATCGTCAGGTCAAATTTCGATTTAAAGCTTTCGTGACTGCAGGGATTCATCTTCTTGGTTCTTTCGGTAAAGTCACGTAGAAGGGAAGTAATAAAATAATAAAAATAAAACATAATAAAATAAAATAATTCTCACATTTTATTTTATTATGTTTTATTTTTATTATCGTCAGGTCACCCAACTTTGTGGAGGAAAGGCGACACACATTTCGCGCGGTGTGTGTGAGTGTGCGCGCCTCTCGTTGTGTGGCACAGGCTCGCGTGGTTTCAGCCCCGGTGGTGTCTCGTTGTGAGAATTCACCAAATGTCGACGCGTCTGATTTTTGGTGTTTTACTTCGTCGTTGTTAATGTTGTTGTCCTTACACACACACACCCCCCGGCTCGCCCGCACCAACGATCAGCACGGATGGCTACGTGCGGTGCAAAAAAAGTTCAACGTACACACGTAATACGTCGATCTCCCAGATTGATTGGTGAAGTGAACTTGAGTTTATTTGACATAATGTTCATGGGAAAGGTTTTTTGGATTAGATCGCGTAAAAATGAAACGTGACAGTTAGTCACTACTTCAGCACATCGGTGTGATGGAGAGTAAACCTGTAACAATTACAATTTGAGTGTGACTTTTTCGCTGGCGATTACAACCATCTTCATCAGGCGATTTGCCAGAGTTTTGTTCACGTGACAAACCTTACTAATTGGCTGTGTCGGATGGTGGTGGGATGACGACACATTTATATTTACGTGATCTAACCAAAAAACACGTATGAATAATATTGGTCGTGAAAGGGTGAGTGTTAAATTGATCGTATCTGTTTGCAGTACTTTCAGGGGCAAGGGATACTTGACGTTGTTAAAATGAAATCAAGATAAAACTCTCATCATCGTATCCCACGTGAAATTATCAAAAGGCGTTCGCGTGGAAAAGGCTTCCAGGTCTTTGCGAACACCTAACCCCTTTCATGAGGCCCTGTGGTTGTTGACAGAGAAAGTTTTTATATATATCAGACAAATTTGCCTGAGCTGTAAAGAGCTGTGTTAAGCAATATTGTATGTATGAATGCTCTAATTAACGCTAGAATTTGAATTAAAAAAATCAGGAAAGCCGCGTTAGCAGTGCTGTAAAAAGAAAATTTAAAAAACGACCCTCATCATTAACTCTGCCTTACATGTGGAGTTTTTTTTCCTATTACAAGGCGGTGTTTAATGACGAAAGCGGTTAGAATTTAGCAATTTGTGCTTATAATGTATTTCATATGTTAACTTCATCGCATGAATATGTGATTTAGAAAAATTCTAGTTGAAATATGACATGGGTAATTGGCCGAGAAAAGTGCAACATTTTTTTTGCAGAACCATGATCTTGAAAGTATAATGGACAATGCAGCAAATAGAAATAATAATGACCTTTATTTAACCCAGGAAATAGTCATTGAGTCTTAACTCTTTTTAAGAGGATCCTGCTTAATGATGCAATTCTATTCATGTCTATGTCAATATGTTCAGGAGCTAAGCGGTGCAAGTAGATATAATACGACACCACAACAGATAGTTTATTTACAGCCGAAAATATGATCATGCCTGGTGTGGCATATGATATCATCAAGCCGCATATACATTTAGACCACAAATAGTAACAGCAACAAAAGTGTTCCCATTTTGACAGCGCAGGGCAATGATGTTAGATACATGAATCGCCTTGCATTGCGGATCTCAACGCACTGTTCAGGAAAGAAACAGGCACTCGGCATGAAAAAGAACTCGTGAAACGAAAAACTAAGACGCGGACAACAAAAATAATAACCCATTTTGCCGAATTTGATAACATTTTAAACAAGTTTGAAGACGAGCTTTTAAACAAATATGTCTCGCAAGACATCTCGGAGGAGGAAGAGTTCAAGAGTTTGGGGGCTACACGGGGGGGGGGGGAAGTAATGAGGCGACTCCACTGGTTTCACCCTTGTTTAGGAATCATCAGTGCAACTATATCCATCACTGCCGACTGCTGTGACATGCTCGGGATGACGGGAGGACCGAGGCGAGGCAATGGTCTGGAAACCACCGCCTGCGTGTACGATTACCCTGTCGCTCTCCTGTCTGATGAGTGCCTCGTCACTTACAGAAAGTGTTAGAATTGCTTTTCAACACTGATCTGTGCATGCGGGCAATCCCACAGCTTTGGGGGGAGGGCGGGGGGGGGGCTTTAGGGGGCCAAACCCCTCCCCCCGTCCCTCCCTCCGTTCCTTTCTGAATGATTAGGCCCCCGTATACATTTGTATAGTTGTCGAGAAAATGTGGCAGTAATGATAACAAAAAATATAATACTTTCTTTTTATTTCGCGTCATTCATGCTAATTGCATCCCATAACGCTAATTGCACCACGTGACGGCCGTAATAATGACAGTGATTTTATAGTGATGATGATTATAATGGCAATCTGGGCGTGGGGTAGCCGGTTATAGGGCACCCACTTCCTCGTGTTCCGTGCCGGCCTTAATAGGTGCTCGCTAACAACACTTGCCCCAAAAGTCTATAAAAATACTATTTGGGAGATCTTTGTGTACGACAATGATGATGATGTTTATGATGCTAGTCTTTCGTATGGCTGATGTAGAAGATGCAGAACAACAACTACAATTTCACATCGAGGTGGTCAAGCCAGACAACCGCGTCAGCAGCAGCGGAGTGCGTCGCTGTTGATGTCCCCTTCGTATTTGCGGTTCGGACATTGCGTCGTCATACGTTGTACGCTCTGTTCTGGATGACCACAGTCGCACACTTAATTTGGCACTTGTGCATCGGGGTATCCGCATCTGCCACGGTTTGCGCAGTAGATGCGGTGGTCTTTCACAAGGTGCTTTGGCAGTGGGGAGGGCCGGAACAAAATGAAAATGAGTGCGAATACGTGACGGAGCTAGCCAGAGCAGTGATGGGTGGGTGGCGGTGGGTGGCGGTGGGGGGGGGGGTATCGTCACCTTGTGGCTGTACGGGTGGCACAGGTCCTGCCTGCCTCCCAGCGGCGTGCACACGCGAAGTCCCCACAGCCACAGGCTGGTTGCACAGCACGTGTCAGCGGGGCACTGAGAGTCTCTCTCGCACGCCTGCACCACACACACACAGCAGGCACGCAGCGCGTAGCGTAAGGGGGCATACATTCAAGTACGAAGACACCCCCCCACTCCCATCTGCGTACGTACGCTTGACGTACCCCCCCCCCCGGCCGATATTTAATTCACGCAGAAACGATCAAGGATTAATAATATGCACGTGTTTAAGCAAACGGATAGTCCACCGCCGGACTATCTAACTAATTTGAAGGCCAATGGAGACAAATTATTATCGAGGCTTCACCCCCCCCGTTTCCTATGCGTACGCACATTGTCAGCAGACCCCCCATGCGCAAGGTACGCGTTTGGGTTAACCCCCCCCCCCCCCCATGCGTACGAACTAAGTGGATGGCTCCTAAACCACCAGCCCCGCCAGCCAGCCCCACAGCATTGCACACAGACAAAGATCACCCACCGAAAAGTCGTAACACACTGTTGGGGCAAGTGCCATTAGCGAGTAGCACCTATAATGTACAGTCTACTAAAGTATTTATTTTATTTTACCAAGTAAGGCCCACTGGGTTATACCGCTCGTTTTCAGAGGCAAATGAAAGCTCAACGAAGTGGCTTATCGTGTGGATGTTTATCGCAGCCAAATACTAGAAATGCACGTTTCTAAATGTGGAGGGAAGACCCGGAGAAAAATCCACGCGGGCACGGGGAGAGAGCCACGCAAACTCCAAATATACAGCAGGTGTCAGGGTCGGGATAGAACCCACAACCTCCTGTAAATCAAGCAAGGGAGTTAACATCTCGCCACCCAGGCCAGCCAACCCCACAGCATTGCACACACCCAAAGACAAATATTCCCCCGCCCAGGCTCGTGTGTAGCCTTAACAGACTGTTAGGGAAAGTGCTGTTAGCGAGTAGCACCTATGAAGGGGCCGGCATGGCACACGAGGGGGTGGGTGGCCAGCACCACGCCCGGCCGTTTTCGTCTCCCAAGTGGCGATGTTTTTACACAAGGCACAAGGTACTCATTTGAGGCTGAGTCGTCCTGCACACCCAGCAGATAGTACACCCAGCAGACAACAGATGATTTCTCACACAATACACAACGACCCATCACAGCTCCTCCAGTGTATATACATCTGTACCCAGCACACCCAGTATTTAGCATTTAACACATCTGACACCCAGTGTACCCGCACACACAGCAGCCAACGCAAAGCACACCCAGCGCCCTGCACCTAGCGTACCCAGCTGCCAACACAGAATAACACCGAGCAGATGACATACTCACCAACATCTAACACGGCACACTCGGCACACTCAGCAGCTGATAACATACCCAGCAGCCAACGTTCAATGCGTAACGCACCCAATACACTGACACCACATAGCAGCCAGTGCACACAGTATTGTCAACGGGCAACACACTGCACACCGAGCACCCAGAAATCGTACGCCAAGTACACCTTCACAGCCAGCCGGTGACATATAGAACACGCAATTCTCAGCACATGGTAATTCTCAGAAAAGCCAACACGTAATATAATGAACATATGTTGTACACAGTACTCGTTACATCCAGCAACAATACACGCGACACCCGGTTATCTCTGACACGTGGCATACCCAGCCGCCAAAACATCGAGTGCACTCAGCAGCCAAAGACACACCGAGAAGCCCACAACTCGTGTATCCAGAAGCTAGAGTACGCAGACAGGTAACAGGCAAGACTGCTTCATGAATGACCAGGTGAGAGCCATTGAAACTTGGGAGACTTGGTTATAAATTCCACTAAAATAAAGCAGGCAACACAGCAGTTGCAAAACATTTAAATGTCAACAATAAACACTTAACATTGTACGTGATATAATGCACAATTTGTAATGCTAATTATATTTTCACAAATCGGCAATCTTAACAAGATGAGGACTAATTGAGGTCGAATGCAATTCTACAAAAATAAACACGTTTAGATTTGCCAAACGATGAATCGAGGTTATTGCGGGAACCTAATTGCGAGTGAGTATTCATCGAATGGAAGAAGAGAGGCGAAATTGTTCCGTGGTTGTGAAGCGCTGTGCATGATGCAGCATTCTCTAAACCTAAGCTGAACTCTTCTTGGTTCTTTCGGTAAAGTCACGTAGAATGTAAATAATAAAATAATAAATTTCGATTTAAAGCTTTCGTGAATGCAGGGATTCATCTTCTTGGTACGTGACTTTACCGAAAGAACCAATAAAATAAAATAATAATTATTATAAATAATTAATAAAAAATTTATTATAATTATTAAAAATAATTATTATTTCCATTCTACGTGACTTTACCGAAAGAACCAAGAAGATGAATCCCTGCAGTCACGAAAGCTTTAAATAGAAAACTAAGCTGAACTCTCAACACACAACATTGTAAATGGTGAAGAGCACATAAGGATCACGAGCGCTTGAATTAGGTATAGACCAGATCATATTAATCATCATAATGTTCCAGTGTCTTTGTCAATCCACTGCTGGACAAAGAAGGCCTGTCGGCTCCGTGTCGCTTCACGGAGGGGTTGCTTCACCATACTTTCGCAAGGCTACTCAGCGGTGGTGGATTGGTGAACGGGAGGCGCACTGCGCCATGAACCCGGGGACCCGAGTTTGGTTACTGGCCCACGGCTAACATTGGCGAGTGATATGTGAACGCAGATAAGATTGATGATAATTTCTTAGCAAACACTTCTAGAATGAACTATGACCACGGCGGGTCCCTCTGTGTTGATAGTGACAAAGGAGCTAGCTTCAGTCTAAAGGTTACAGAGTGTCTCTCTTTTAAAATACTGGACTATTTAAATATACGACTTGTGGGTACGATAAGTCCTCGATTAACGCGTGGTTCACACGGCGTGTTTTCGCTATAACGCGGTTCTTCCATTAGGGGACATTTCCGCACAACGCAGAACGCGGCCGTTACAACGAGGAACGCGCCCGTTGGAACGCACCCCGTTATAACGCGGAACGTGTACCGTTATAACGCGGTTTCTGAGCGCTGGACAACGAACTACTTGTGTTGAGCTGATCGTCTGAGCGGAGCGATACAGGACGTGGAATGATGCAGTAACGCGGCGGCGGCGTGCTTTACAAGGAATGTGTTTACCACGTTATACAAGGGCCCACTGTATTTATAAACTAAATTACATCGCCACAATCAATGCGGTTGCACGCACCAAGGTGGATGCAAAAATTCCGGTGGCCGGTGGATAAAGAGAAAACCAAGTTGTTGTTTGTGGTAGAAAACAAAAATCTATCCTTTGGTTCTAAATTATTTAGACGTTGTTGTAAGAGAGTGCAAAGGTTCAAGTGAGAATCAATGCAGCAGCTGCATATTTAAAGGGTTTCATATTTCAGATGGTGGAGTTACATGCACGCACATTGAAGTGAATACTCCATGCAAACAAAGTCATAGATCTACCACATACCCTTTAACAGACAGTGGGGGCAAGTGCTGTTAGCGAGCACCTATGAAGCACACGAAGGGGGTTGGATGGCCAGCATCACACCCGGTGGCCTGATGCGGTTCAGGTACGCATTTAAGGCTGAGTCGACCTAGGAGAGGCCCAGGGCCAGTTCAGACATTCATCACCGATTTTGACCGCGTGCGGAAAATGGAACTCGGGTCGCCACCGCTCCCCACTGCCGCATGCAACAAGCACGTGTGATTATCATGAAGAGCAAGAGTAAGAAACTTACCCCAGTGATGACAGCGCCGTCAGTCAGAAAGCAGAGGGTGCATAACAGGGACACACAGATGAGCGTAACTTTCATTGTTGCAAAACAACCGCTTGATCCTTGAGAAGGAAAATGGTGTGTCTTAATAGATTACAGTACACGTACAGTCTATATATACTGTATAATTGTACCCTGATAATTTACTGATGCACGCACACACGCTCTCTCTCTCTTTCTCCCCAAGACACCGGGCAGACAATTTTTACCTCCTTCCAAAAACTCACCTCTTATATTTTATCATCATCATCATCACCACCACGGCGCAATGCAATGAGCAAATGAGTGGATGCCTTCCCACGCCGCTTTCATCTCAAGTCTCCAATAGGGATGACACCCGCCGTGTGTATGAATAATGCATCACCACTGCTCGCTACACGGGCTACTTGCGTGCTTGCTGACCCTCGGTGTCTCACTGCTCAAGAAACATAATGACGATACAGCAGGCGCAGTAACAATGAAAGCTAATTATTTGGTTATGCTGCTGCTACTGCTGGCAGCATCACTCACAACAACAACACCAATACTCAAAATATATAAGTCAATACAGCAACACTCGGTGGCATTCAGAGAACTATGTAATGGACGACGTTTCGGGCAATGGTCCTTCTCAATAGTACATGTGAAGAAGCACAACCGTTTTTAAAACACTATTTTTTTTAACTAGGTAAGCCCACTGAGCTCTATAGCTATTTTTCAGAAGCGACCTGGCCACAAATGATAGCTCAACGAAGTGGCTTATCATGTGGAAATGTACGGCAGCAGCCAAATGCTCCACGCGCACGTTTTCCAATGTGGAAGGAAAACCCGGAGGACCCGGAGAAAAATCCGCACGACCACGGGGAGAACATTCAAACTACAAATACACAACAGGCATCAGGGTCGGGATCGAACCCACGACATCCTGTATATCAGGCGAGGAAGTTAACATCTCGCCACCTTTGTCAATGCACCGCCTAATTCTAGATTTGAAGCTTTCGTGACTGCAAGGATTCATACTCTTAGTTCTTTCGGTAAAGTCACGTAAGTAAAACATGAAATTAAAATTAATAAAAATAAAATAAAAATCACGACGTTTCGGAGGCAACACAAGTCTCCGTCATCAGGTGGGACCGTCACAGCCAGATTTGTTGCATCAAGTGGTGCTGCATCAAGTGGTGATGCAGCAAATCTGGCTGTGACGGTCCCACCTGATGACGGAGACTTGTGTTGCCTCCGAAACGTCGTGATTTTTATTTTATTTTTTATTAATTTTCATTTAATTTTTTATCTACGTGACTTTACCGAAAGAACTAAGAGTATGAATCCACCGCCTGTTTGAGAGTCCTCTTCAATCCGTTTTGGTGTCATGGGGAGGGGAGGGGGGGAGGGTTGTGTGACCATACTTCACCACGCTGCCTAGTGCGGGTTGGTGAATGGGGCTGGGAAGCAACGCGCCACAAAGTCCATCCACCGAGGAGATGGAGCGATGAGATCGGCTCGTGCGCAGGAAGGAGCAAGCTTATTATTGCACGCAAAATCGTGATGGCGACGGTTTGGGGAAGCCTTCATCCACCAGTGGGTAGACCACG